CACGGGAACTGCTCAGGAACGCACAGGCGCTTAGTGTGCCCCGGTCCCCCAAATTCCAATAAGCCACAGAAGGTCAGAGCTAAGAGAGCTTATTCTGTTCCTGTCTCAACCAGCCAAAGATGCAGGTTCTAACCATGCCCAAGGAAGCGCATTGGCCTGTTTCAGGACTTACTGTGGGGCCGCCCTCGGGAGATATCCCCTGCATCTCTAAGCCTGTGTCCACTGTAGTATGTAAAGCAGCTGGTCATGTGGTGATCACAAAAGATTCCAAATGTACTCACTCATTCACCAAACAACCACTGCGCACCTATGATGATCCGCACAGCAGGAGGCACTGGGAACACGGGGAAGCCAGCAGACAAGGTTCCAGAGATCAGGGTGAAAGATGAGGGCAGGGCTGGAGAGTGCTGTGCAGGCAGGAGACAGGGAGCAGAGGCGGTGGGAAGGGGCGTAGGGGGTGCATGGCGCATAGTTCTGTGCTGGGCACCGAAGCAACCCCACAGCTCAGTACTTGCACTTGCGAGAATCATCATTACGTAGGTAGATTTCCCTCCAGTGCCCACCCCTGAAGGGCGGCAGGGTATCCCCACTCACCCCCGGGGAGAGCGCGTGCACACTTGTGGCTTTCACTACCAGCTACTTGCCAAATGTGTACTTCCAGCCCAGACCCCAGACCTCCACCCTGGCATCCAGGTACACATCTCTACCTGGATTTGTCATAGGAATCTTCCATGGAACCCCCTGCCCTAAACTAAGCTCCCAATTTTCTCTCCAGCCCCCCCTCCCCTGCAGCGTTCCAGATCCAGGAAACTGCGGGTCTGTTCTTGCCCAGAACAAAACCCATCTTCTGGAGTCGTCCATGTCCCCTCTCTACCCTCACAGCCTGTATCTTACCTGTCAGCAGGCCCTCTCAACACGGCTTTGGGAATCTGACCATTCCACTGCCACCACCCTGGTCTGAGTCACCTTCCTCTCCCATCGTGATGACCCCTTAACTGTGCCTCTCCTCTACTCCAACCACAGTTCGGAGTAGTCCGACCAAACTGGCAGGGGTGAACCTAGTAACAGAGAAGTTCACACCGTCTCTCTCCTCTGCCTAAAAGCCCCCAGTGGCTTCCCACCAATCCTTGCGGTGGCCTACAGCGCGGGGTGCAATGTGGTCTTGCAGGATCTCGGGCACCACTGGACACACCACATCAGCACCTGCATGCTGATAAAGCCGCCCGCAGGCAGTGCCGGTCCAGGGGGTGTGGGGATCTCCTAGGTGCCTGCCCATCTTGCCGCCCACCCACCCCTGCAGGAAGAGGATGTCTCCAGCTGGTCCTAAAGAGGACTGGGATGTGGGCAGGCTGGAGAGAGGGGAGGGGTAACCTCAGGCCAGCAGAGCCCCCTCCAGGCTGTGGACGTGCCACACGAGCCACTGCTTCAGAGACAGGCAGGTCCTCTATGAGGGCTCAGAGAACATCTAGCTCAGCTCTGTTTCACAGCCCAGGACACTGAGGTCCAGACAGGGACCCTGACTTGCAAAGTTCTTAGAAGTGTAAATAAACATCTACCAGAATCACAACGGTGTGCATGCTCTTCCCCGCGATAGACATGGGCCTCAGCTTCCGACGGACAAGCTGTGCTGTGTGAACACACAGCTCCACCGACGCATCCGTCCGGGTGCAAGTGGCAGTGCTGATGGCACAGGAACAGCACCTTGTACCCGAGGAGCACGCGATGCTTGTGGCTGCAGCTGGCATGAGACGCTGATCCTCGACTTTCAATGGTAGGTCAGTGCACTTTAGTGTTTTAAAAGAGTTCAGGAACTTCTACTTTTAAAATATGTGAATTTCGGGTGCCTGGGTGGTTCAGTGGGTTGAGCATCCGACTCTTGGTTTCAGCTCAGGTCATGTTCTCATGGTTCATGGGTTCGAGCCCCCAATCGGGCTCTGTGCTGGCAGCGCAAAGCCTGCTTGGGATTCTCTCTCTCCCTCTCTATGTCCCTCCCCTCCTTTCTCTCTCTCTCTCTCTCTCTCAAAATAAATAAACTTTCAATTTCAAGTGATTTAATTTGAATTTCAAGTGATGTAAAATTTTGCATCTTTGTATTTTTAGACTGTTATAGTAACTTTTTTTTTCAAAATAGTTATTATCCTAAAGGCAGAAAGAAAGTGACTGGGGGCAGGCAGGGTCTTATAGATGATTTGATCATTTAAAGTCAATTTTTGGGGTGCCTGGGTGGCTCAGTCGGTTGGGTGTCTGACTTCGGCTCAGGTCATGATCTCACGATTCGTGAGTTTGAGCCCCACATCAGGCTCTATGCTGACAGCTCAGGGCCTGGAGCCTGCTTCAGATTCTGTGTCTCCCTCTCTCTCTGCTCCTCCCCTGCTCACATTCTGTCTCTCTCTCAAAAATAAATAAAGATTAAAAAAAAATTTTAAGTCAATTTTCTGGGGGCATCTGGGTGGCTCAGTCAGTTAAGCATTTGACTTCATCTCAGGTCATGATCTTGTGACTCGTGAGTTTGAGCCCCGCATCGGGCTCTGTGCTGACAGCTCAGAGCCTGGAGCCTGCTTCAGATTCTGTCTCACTCTCTGTCTGCCCCTCCCCCTCTTGTTCTCCCTCGATCGTTCTTTCTCTCTCTCACACACAAAAAATAATAAAGTCAATTTTCTGCATGAGGCAAGTCAATGCTCTTCTGTTCTTCCTGGTTAAAAAAAAATTCTCTGAAACTGTGCTTCATGAAAACTCTGAAAAGGACCAGGGCAGGGGAAGGTTCTAGGGTGATCAAGAAGCAGGCCCCTAGGGACAACAGAACGGTGAAAGCAAACTTCAGGGAACTGTCTCCACAGACAGCATAGTCCCTGTCCCTTTACTACAAATCCCAATCCAACAGAGAGATATGTGAAGACATCAGAGACTGAGGTTGGTGACTATGGCAGAAGACGCAATGATTATTCTCATTTTCTCTCCTGGTGTAGCCTTATCACCTCCATCAGTGCCTGGCCCAAAGTAGGAATTCAATACAGATCAGTTCAAGAAATGATTATGACCCAAAAGGAGAGTTAGGAAGGGCTACCATCCCAGAGGAAAAAAAACAATCTGAAAGCAAAAGTAAGAAAACCATTCCATTTACAATAGCATCAAAAAGAACAAAATACTTAGGAACAAATGTCACCCAGGATGTACAAGGCATGTGGACTGACAGCCACAAAACAATGCTGATAGAAATGAAAGAAGATCGAGATAAGTCAAAATAAATAAATAAATTGTGTTCATGGATGGGAGAACTCAATTTTGTAAAGATGGCAATTCTCCCCAAACTGAACTAGATTCAGTGAAATCTCTATCAAAATTCCAACCACTGGGGCGCCTGGGTGGCTCGGTCGGTTAAGTGTCTGACTTCTGCTCAGGTCATGATCTCGCTGTTCGCGAGTTCGAGCCCCGTGTCAGGCTCTGTGCCAACAGCTCAGAGCCTGGAGCCTGCTTTGGATTCTGGGTGTCCTTCTCTCTCTGCCCCTCCCCCACTTGTGCTCTGTCTCTCTCTCAAAAATAAATACAAACATTAAAAAAAACCTGTTACAACTCCATAATAAAAGACAACCCAGTTTTAAAATAAGCAAAAGATATGAATACACATTTCTCCAAAGAAGATAAAAGTGGGCAATAAGCCCACGAAAAGATGCTCAGCATTGTTAGTCATTAGGGGAATTAGTGCAAATCAAAACCGTAATGAGATATACTTCACACCCACTAGGATGTCTATAATAAGAAAATGGATATGATAAAACAAGAGCTGATGATGACAGAGAGAAACTAAAATCCTCATATAGTGATGATAGGAATATAAAATGGTACAGCACTGCAGAGAACAGTTTGATGGTTCTCCAAAAAGTCAAACATAGAATTACTATATAACCCAGCAATTCCATTCTTACGTATACAACCAAGAGAACTGAAAATGTATGCCCACATAAAGACTTACATGTGGATGTTCAAAGCAGCATTATTCCTAACAGTCATTAAGTAGAAAGAACCCAGCTGTCCACCAACTCATGAAAGGATAAACAAAATGTTATAGATGCAATTATTTACACACAATTAAATTGTATTATTCATGAAAGGGCATGAAGTATGATACATACTATAAACATTATGCTAACTGGACACGAAAGGTGACATATTGTGTGATTCCATTTACATGAAACATCCAGAAGAGGCAAATCCATGGATACAGCAAGTAGATTAGGGGTTGCTGGGGGCTGGGAGAACGGGGAGTGTCTCCTTAGTGGATATGGGGTATCCCTTTGGGGTGATGACAAAGTTCTGGATTTAGTTAAGCGGTAAGTTGTACAAGACTGTGAATGTACTGAAGGCCATTTGGTTACACATTTTATTTATTTTTTTAATGTGTATTTATTTATTTATTTATTTATTTTTTCAACGTTTATTTATTTTTGGGACAGAGAGAGACAGAGCATGAACGGGGGAGGGGCAGAGAGAGAGGGAGACACAGAATTGGAAACAGGCTCCAGGCTCTGAGCCATCCGCCCAGAGCCTGATGCGGGGCTCGAACTCACGGACCGCGAGATCGTGACCTGGCTGAAGTCGGACGCTTAACCGACTGCGCCACCCAGGCGCCCCAATGTGTATTTATTTTTGAGAGAGGAGAGACAGAGCGTGAGCAGGGGAGGGGCAGAGAGAGGGAGACACAGATCCCAAGCAGACTCCAGGCTCTGAGCTGTCAGCACAGAGCCTGACGTGGAGCTTGAACTCACGAACCATGAGATCATCACCTGAGCCCACGTCGGACGCTTAACTGACTGAGCCACCCAGGCTCCCCTAGTTATACACTTTAAAAGGATTTAAATGGTGAATTTTACCTCCATAAAAAAAAAAGAAGAAGAAGAAAAAGAAAAGAAAGAATTATGAGAGACACAAGTTAAATAAAAGTCTGAGTTAACAAAAAGGTAGAAATAACAAAAGTGGTCTGGAAATTCCTGAGAACCACTGACCTTGCTTCTCGGGGTTGCGGACCTGGGACGGCATGTCTTGGATTTCCAAGGTCCATTCCCCCTCGGCCTTTTCTCCCCAGCAGTGCACGGTCATGAATTCCCAGTTTGTAAACCCTTCATTGGAATGATCCAGCAATCTGCAATTGGAGACTCGGGGTGAGAACACGAGGATCTGGAAAGGAGGGGGTGGGACAGGCCGAGGAGGGCTCTCTCCCAGCTCAGAATTACTTAGGTGACGGTACTATTCAGCTGAGTGGCACCTCCAGGGCAGCAGGTCTGAGAACGGAAGGAAAAAGAGCCTGGCCCTCAGCACAGGCGCAGGTGCAGGTACAATGGTGACCGCTTTCAAACCCTTGCATTATGACACAGCCCTGGACAGCAGCTTCACCTTCATTATCCCATCGGGTCCCCTGAACATTCTGAGAGGCAGGCAGGCTGGCAGGACTTACAGGTGCCCAACATGAGACGGACTCAGCCAGCGATGGGCTCTTCCTGCCATCCTAGTTTGCCGATGGAGAGATCCCAAGGGTAGTGATTCATGGCAGGTCCAACGGCCAGGAACCAGCTGAGCTGGGACTCACCCAATGGCATTCGGACTCCTGTCTTTGTTCTTTCCAGCACAGGGAGGTGTGTAAGAGGTTACCAAAGAAGGTCCTCAAACCCCCCACCCCCCACCCCATGTTCCTTCAGGTGTTTGGTTCCTTCCTACCCTTTCCCTCCTACAGAGGATCTGGACCAATGCCTGGATGCACAAAGGCAGAAAGAGGCTAGGCCACATGATTCTTGGACTTAAGCACCAAGGGCATCACAGAGGAAACCTTTCTAAAATGCTGGCTTATGGAACGAATGAAACCTTCACATCTGTCATGGACCCAGCTCTTACGTGCTGTTCTCCAGGAGATACAAAGAAGGAAAAACGTGCAACTCTCCAGGGCTTAACAGGCTTCAACAGGTGCATTTGGAAGAGATGACATAAGGGGCCTGGTTGTTCTCCAGTGTGGGTGGGAGGCACCCCTGGGTGCAGCACGAGGAGGCACAGGAGCTCCCGCCCCTCAGCCAGCCTCCCCTTGTAGGTTCTGATGAGCCTCCCTTGGTCCTTTGCTACCCCAAGGTCCTTCTGGACTTCAACCCAGATCCATTTCCTCTTCTTTGACTTGAGCAGGAAACAGGAAACAAGTTATGGGCACCCTCTTTCTTCCCACACCCTGTGCCCTGCTTAGTCTCCTCTCCTTGGAAGAAACAATCTCAGGTTCTTCTCCCTTACTCTTCCTTCCCAGTCTAATTTTCTAGCTCTATTGTGGAACACTGTCTTTACCCAAGAGCTCTTTATTTGTCATCAGAAGTTCAGATACATATTTGGTGTGATGTAAGACTGGATGCCTGATTTGGGTGTTCTCCGAACATCCAACGAATGTATAAAAACCTTTATCGGAAGAATGTTCTTCGCTTGGCGAATAGTGAGGGGGAAGGGCCACACCCTGTACGTTCTTCTAAGAAACTGCAAAGGTCAAGGCTGATTTTCACACACGATGCCAAACTGATCCCGACCCGCCTGGACAGAACAAAGACAAACTGTCTTCTAAGGGCTGAAACACTTAACGAAATGTCAACTTAACTCTTGGTGAAAAAAAATCTGGCAACCTGAAAAAGCTGCCGTATTGAGCAAGATGCGAAATAAAGTAGAAGTAATAGATCGCCCAAATACAAACTCTTGATATAATCACAAAATCTGTGCCTTGGAAAAAAACAAATTCCCAAGACTCAGATGACTGCCAAATGGCCTCAAGGCAGGTTTCAAGTGCTTGATGGCACAGGTACAGCACCTCCTAGCTAATGGGTAGTCTTGAAGCGAATGAACTTGGCAGGACCCGCTCTTTCCCATCTGAGGGGCACACACTGGGCTTGAACAGGACGGAGGTTAGAAGGGGAGGAGATCAGAGTGCACAGAGGCCAGGCGGTGGGGATGCTGGGGCGCTGGAAGGTTCTTCCAGGTCAGGTGGATGTAAGCAGGACAGGGAGGGAGGCCAGCTGCATGTGCCGGGCATTTTCATCTACATCATCAGCATCCAGTGCTTGTAGCATTCTGGACTGTGATGGGAGTGAAATGATATTTCTAGAGGTGAGGGATAAAGGGAGGAGAAATGGGTGACTCCTGGGTGCCCAGCCAGGAGGTGAAGGAGCAGGGTATAATCTCATGTCTCTGGGCCCACAGCCCATCTCGGCATGGGTCCTCGCAGGTCACTGCTGCCCTGCTGGCCTCTGACCTGCCGCCCCAACCCCTAAGCCTCACTGTGGCTCTTGGTCAACCCAGGTCACCATTTGGTGCCTGGATCCAGTTCCTGCCTCGAAGTCAGGCCTCACCACCTTGGATGCCTCCTGGTGTGCAGCATGGAGCAAAGGGGGCTCTAGGGAGGTGACTTCATGAGAGCCCAGAGAAGTGGAGCCTGTGCCTGGCCTCCGTGCTACTGTAAGGACGGGGACCTAAGGTGCCTTGAAGTGGCCCCGCCCATCCGCCCAGCTCCAGTCTGGTGTTTGAACAGGGAATGAGGGCCCTTATCAGAGAACTTCAATGTTTCAAGGAATGCTAGAAATTTGGACTTTTAGATGAAATCTCTAAAAGTTCCAGTAATAATAATAATAACTCTGGTTGTAAAATAGCATAAATAAAGTGTTGGCTTGCCAGCTGGCACTCTCAAACTGCTCACAGCCTTGCTGGTCTCCCAAGGGCAGAGGCAGAGTATGGCCCAGGCCTACCTTCAAGAGGGAGAGATGCCCCCTGTCGCTCTCGTTCTACGAGGGTGGAACCTAACCTGGTGGGGACTGAGTCTGATGGCCAAGCCCTTGGAACCCATGAAGCCAGGATCTGGTCTCAGGGCTGGTTCCAGAGGACAAACTCCCCACTCCTTCAGACAACTGGCTGGCAAGAGCATTCAGCCTTTCATCTCTGCAGGCAATCTCTCTGTCTTATGCAAAGTAGGGGTGGGGTGGAAGGGGGCTAAGAGAAACTGCAACTCCTACCTGGTCCTGAATGGAGGCCTTTACTCAACCCCCATTTTCTGAATCCTACAGCCCAAATATGGCTGCAGCCCCAGGCAGGGAACCCAAATGGGTCATGTGGGCCCAGTGTGGGCAAGCAGGCAGTGGGGCCACGGCCCAGGGGACAGGTAGTGGCAGGGTGCTTCCTGAGGCTGAGGCGGG